AGATGGCACCCACCACTGTCAACTTCCTCCTTCTACTTCCAGACGGCGATCCATCTAAAGTTCTTTAAGGCATGGTGTGCGCACACCTCGCCAATGCAAAAACCCCAGGTTCCTTCAACACTACAATCAACGAGTTATTCCGCCTCAGCAATATGCCAAGCTTCAAGTTTCCTGACATTCTGAAAATCATTCCTAACGTTAACTTCACTGCCCCAGCTGACCTGACATCTGCTGCCCAATCTACTACTTCTTAGCCAATCCCAGCTGCAGAGAAGCCATCTACCACTGGAACCATCTCAGTACACCTAACACTGCCTTCCATATTTTCAATACTACTTCTTAAGCACAGCCAGCCGTCAAGCCATTACCCAAGGACTCCAATGCTCCAGCCCAGCCACGACCATTATCTCACCCCTTTCAACTTTCTCCTGCACTACAAGCCGCCACCTCCAAGAACACGGAAAAGTAACCTACTGACTCTTCTCAGGAAGAGGAAGAGGTTGACATCTACGAAAGAGGACAGGGCAACCTTGTTTTCTACACGCCTCTTTCATATAGCAGTTCCATGCTCTGCAAGAAGCTGTACACAAGACTGTGTAATGGCAAAGTCAAATTCGCTAGTAAGCCACCATACCTCCTTTCAAAGTAACAAGTCCAGGAATACGTCAAGGTCGAATATAACCCAACACAGCCAACCCTGTGGAATTATCGCACCTCTCCAGAACAACCTTTAAGAAATTCAGAAACGGCTCTTCCACTCCAAACTCGCTTTACTCCTGATCAGCCTTTACAATCAACACTTCCACCGTATGCTACTCTCTCCTGTGACTCTGCGTGCTGACCTGTCAGGTCAAGACCTTCCCTGGACGACTGCTACCTGTTCCTGTTGCTCTCCTCATCGCTCACGAACGCTCCTGTGCCGAGTTAAGCCCTGGTTCTTTATCTACGAATGCAGACGATATTATTCGCAAACGTCTGCAGCCTGTCTTCACTTAAAGACTCGCCCCTTGGAGAACATTCGTGGATTCCGATGAGTTTTTAAATAAGATGAAAGAGGAAGGCAACTACTAAAATATATGAATGACTACTTACTTAACGATATAATTGGCCCAGGGTTGCCAATACTCGGGTATCAGTATTCCTGACCCGTTGAACATGCCGTTAGTCTTCATCCAGGCTGGGGAGGACCAGGGCGAACCAAACATCTTCAGTGGGTATGTCGTCATTTCTCGAGCTCGCAGGATCAAAGGAATCTGTGATTAGAATTAAAAAAATTTAAGTCATTTCTTTTCAATGATTATAATGAGTGTAAAGTCAAGTAATTGTTTTAAAGAAGGTAAAATTATGAACATTTTTCCCTGTGTTCTGATATTTAATGTTATGCGTTTATTTTAGTGATATGTATGCAGGTTGTCTAACAATATTTGTAATATATATTGAAACATTGTTTGTAATATAACCAAAATTTGGCTTTCTTAATTTCTGTTAATATATAGTCACAGATGAATTTTACTGCGCCTTTTCAAAATATATTTGTTTCATGTTATTACTTTATAATCATAATCCTCAAAAGTAAGATTCCAGTGTACAAGATCAGCGTCTCCTTCCACGTCATCATAGGAGTAGGTCCTGGTGGAGCAGTCACAGCCAGCGATGGGGATGCGACCAAAAGTATATCCGATTCCTTCAGGGGCGAAATACGATCTGCAGATTTTAACAATTTTATAGTTAGGTCAGGTAAGGTTCGTCAGGAAACAGGACAAATGTTTCCTGACGCGGGTCTTAGATGATGACCCGCCTTTGGAGCTTTT